TGACAGGCTGACTCTGGCCCCGACGTCTCCCACGCTGACAATCCTGGCAGCTGGGCGTGAAGGTTCGTTGAGAGGTAAACGACAGGCCAGCACGATGCGGGTGGGAGTCGGCTAGTTTGATTCCTCGAGTCGAATGCCAAGCTGACGAGACTATCGTGCGCCTCTTCGATGTAGCTGCATCTTGCTGCATGTCGTGTTCCCGTCCATGATGCGATGAGTCGACGATATCTCGTACTAGAGGAGGCTCTGCGGGCTGCAGCAGAACGGTACGTTTCGGATGAAAAAGGACAATGGAAGTTCGGACTATGCATCTCGTCTGAAGTTTCCAGCCGTGTAGTCTGATCTCAGGGGTGAAATTGTAGACGTGGAGGCAGTGTTGAAGAAGTCGCCGGAATTGGAAGAGGGAGATGAAGAGAGGACCATGCGATGACGCCGGAAATGGAATGGGATGGAGAGGAATGCGTGAGGTGGATGGGGGAAGGACGGGACGAGGAAGGAGGGGGGCAAGTCGTGACGAGCTGCCTACCAGGGGCTGCCTGAGGTGCGAGGTGCCTGGCCCTACTGTGGAAAGTGCCTGGGCTGGCACGCTGGCTGCTCCTTCCCCAAGTTTGTTCGTCCCTGCCGCCCCCGGGATGCTGACGCCAAGCCGCTAGTTCCCGCTACCGCCTCAGCTCAGACAGCGGGCCTCGCTTACGAAGCTTAAAATGTAGTTCGGATGATTGGCTCTTTTCCCCTCTTAGCTAAGCCCTCAGGCTCAGGGTCCACCACACCCTCCTCTTTTGGTCTGGGAGGACGCCGCTAACCATTACGGATACAATCCTCCGACGACTTCAACCAACTTCGACCGCGCCAGACCGTATCCCTCGGCGCTTTGTGTCTGCAAACCCCAGTCCAGGGCCTGGTTTATCAACCTTGAACCGTTTAACCTTGAATTCTCGTCGACTCATCCCGGCCTTTGTCGTGCCCACTTCTCCGCGTCCCGGCCTGTCGGATCTGAACAATGCGGCCACGCGATCTGTTCCTTGGCTTCAATGGCCATCCCACAGGCCGATGTGTCTCTAAGCCCCCAGCGATCCTCGTTTCACCCCAAACGTTGTGGATACGAGAACCGTTCATTCGGATTTTTTTCAAGAGATATCGAGGCGTTGACACTCTTTGTCTCGCCTGCCACAAAGTGTCTCGCTCTCCAACGGTACGCAGCAGACGTTTCGCCAAACCACGGGGATACTCAGGGGTATCTTTGACAGAGAAAGAGCCTCTGTTTGCCACAAACAAATGCGATCTTCATGTGGCGATGATCATTGTACTTCAGGCGCAATGCTGTCGACAAGATGGGTCAGCTTTAGCGAACCCTCATCTCCCCAGCCCGTGATCAATACTTTACCAGCTCTTCAGCTGTCCAGCCCTCCTTCTATGCAAGGCAAGTGGTCCAGATCCTTCATCTCCGCACATGATGGTGTGGATGCTGTGGAGATCTGCATAGGACTACTAACCTGAACTTGTGTTTCTAGTGTTCCGCGCATGGACTGTGAATAGTCTGGCCGTCGTCAATCCCGCGCGCGGCATCACCGCCTGCTGAGAATCCCGGGCTGCAGTGCAGACTGCATATCAGCTCATGCAAACACACAAACACGCCCGTATAAAAATGTGCATAAGCACAATCACTAGACTCGGCATCCGGTATCGTGGTCCTCTTCTCGGTCCTGGACCAACCAGCAAAAGCCTAGTGGCCGATGATCCCCACTTGCCGCCCTCTGGGGTATGAAGGTTCTCGTCAAAGGAGTCATGACTTGGGCCCAATCCTTTCTCCATGGCAGCCACATTCTTGGCCCTTTGTGCGTTTAGATTGGCCCAGCGGCAGGTTTCAGACAGTTGGGCCCTCGAGCATTGTGCCATTGTGCGAACGAGAGCAACGCGTGGCAATCACACGCTCTGGCAGTCATCTCGAGGTAATTCATAAGACTCGAGTTTGATCGCGAAATTAAACACGAAATTCCTTCTCCACCCAACTTATCCACTACACCATCTTCTCTACACAACCACTTGGATTCAGTCTGGATCTTCGGCTTCACCATGTTTTCAAAGTCTCTATTCTACACAGCGCTTGGCGCGACTTTATCCTTCACAGCGGTTCAAGCCCAGCTGGGCACCACAGCAGATGTCCCTCTTGACATCGACGGAGCCTTCGAGGGGTGAGTGCATCCCAAAATGCGTGAAATCTTGGCAGGATTTTCAATGCTAACCAACATCATTCAGCGCATCTGTTACTGGCACAGCCTTCAACTCTGGCGGCTCCATCACATGTAATGGCCAGACAGTAACCGTCCCCAAGAACCTTCAGGTCACATTCCCAGCGGCATTCATCCCCTTCCCCAAGTTTGTGGCAAATGCGGGCAGCTACAAGGGCTACGAGTGCTCCATCGTCGGCAACATCGTCGGTGGCAAGAATGCAGTAGCTGCACAAGTAGAAATTTCCCCCTTTGCCACGACAACATCCAGTGGCTACATCACTGAGACGAAGTTCAACGGCGACATCACCGTGAATGTCGGAGGCACTTCAGTCACCATCCGCATCAATGATCCCAATGCCGTCTACTCGGCCGGAAACGCGGGCCTGGGCATTGATCCCTTCTTCACCGCGGATGACGTGAACCCCAGCGTCAGCTCCTTCTCTGGCTTCCCCATGTGCGTTCCGCGCAGCGCAAGCGACCCCCTGTGCCCCATGAGCAACCGTCCCGGTCTCAAGCAAGGATCCATGTGAGTCTTGCCATCCTCTCTTCGCCTTGTTACCACTCGCTAACGCCATTAATAGCCCAGCAGTGGACGCCAACGTCATGGCTCCCTTGATTGCCGGCGACTTCATCACCTTCTCTGGCTACCAGACTGGTGGCAAGATTGTGGTGTTCGAGCTGGTAGCCTTCAACATCCAAATCACCACGACTGGCACTCCAACATATGTTCGCATGGAAGATGCAAACATTGGTGTCTGGACAGCCGACACTATCAACCAAGAGGTCGCTCAGACTAGGGTCAGTATTCACTCTACCACGTTTAGTAACGAAACACCAACTGACCTCCCCTCAGTTCGTCGGTTACACTTCCGACTCCGCAACAACCGTCAACCCAATCAAGATCCAAGCCATCGACTACGACCGCTGCACTGGTCAGCCCGTCTACCGCGACATCGCCACCGTCAACGTCCCCAACACCGAGCCGCGCAACAAGTTCGAATACCGCACCACGTCCGGCCAGAAGGTTCTCTACGCCCGCGAGTACTACATCACCGCCGCCAACTTCAACAACAACGCCACAACAAACGGCATCCCCGCCGGCTCTTACGTCACCCCCGTCACCGAGTGGATTCAGCCCGAGGACTCGACCCCCGGGAGGGCCCCGACCGGGCACGACTTCAGCAGCTACGGCTGGATGATCAACGGCCTCGGCCGCGACGCCGACGGCAACCTCTGGGGCCCCCTCGACCCCTTCCCCCAGTCCGGTGTCGCCGTCTTCGACAACTCCCAGTGCCCACCTGCCGCTGCTGCTCCCGCCACCCCTGCTACAACGCCTGCTGCCACACCCAGCTCCACGAGCTCTGCCGCAGCAGCTGCGACCAGCAAGCCCCCCGTCGACACGGTCACCATCGCAACCTCCTCCAACTGGGCCTCCTCCGGAGGTGGCACTCTCACCGTCCAGTGCATCTCGAGCAACACAAATGACAACCTCGTCAACATGAAGATGTCCTACACCAACAAAGACGGCACTTCCATCCTGTCCATGACCGCCGCTAACACTGGCAAGGGTGTGTGGAACTTTAGCGGCAACAAGATCAAGCAGCCGACCAGGGTCACCTGCACCAGCAGCTTGGGCGGATCTGCCTCGAGGACCAACTGGTAAAGTTGTTTGCTTCGATTTGGATGTGACAGCTGGTTTCCTTTTCTTCTCTTCTTTCCTCGTGTTTCGACTACTGTATACCTGTATACCTATAGACCATAGACCCTTATGAATGATGACTATTATGACATAACTTCTCTACACCGTCACCATTGAACATCCGCATCCGTTGGTTCATACTTTCGCTGTTTAATTTTCATCTTCACCTCCAGGTGGTCATTCACCGTAAAAATCATATTACCTGGGTCTACCACCAGGTCTCCTTCCTTCATCTATTCACCATACGTTCTTAGCTCCCGACGTATCATTTCCACCTCACCATACTCAGACTTGAGCTGAAGCGCTACTCGCCCCAAAGTCAGTCTTGACATCTGCTTTGTCAATCATCTGTCATGCCCATCCACGAAATGACTCTCGTCGTGGTCAGAAACGCCACCACCACACCGCCGCTAGCAACTTTTAAAGCATCGCCCGAAGCCCGAGCCACACCCGCCGTCGCGTCAAAACTTCCCATTTCCATTTTGACGCGACAACGTGGCTGACTATAGCCTCGGAGCGCGCGAAAAATGCGCGGAGAAAAGACACGGAACCGAAATCGTCTGGCCGCCGTCGCCACCCCAGGGGCAGTATTCCCATGGGCGTGCTCTGAGAAAGGGGTATCAATGTTAGTCTAGGGATGGGTATATGAATAGAGTGGTGAATCAGAACGAGCTAAGTCATTCGGAGAAAAGGGCATGCAAAAAAACAATGCTTTAAGCATACTTGGCGCACGTGTGATCTGTCAGCATGGCGTTGATGTGGAAATGAGAGATGGGGTGTGTCAGTGATTCAGCATAACAAGAATAGAGTATATCAGCCACGGTCATGGTCATTTCTTTCGATACCAGGAGGCGGAGTTGGTTCAGAATAAAGTGAATTCGATTTGCTTTCTAAGAACAAGACCCAAAGACATGCAATGACGCGTAAACACAATTTTAAGAGTGACAAAGTCGCAAGTAAACAAGTAACTCCCCTCTCCACCATCTCTCGCCCCTAGCGGCGGGTATCATCTAACCCATGAACATGAAAGTCCCCAAATCGTAGTCACACCAAACCATCTTCTCCCCTATTCAAGGACCACCAGCACGACCGTTAAAGTCCCAGTAAGCAGAGCCCAAGCTGCGGCAGAACTGGGCCCCGACAACGCAGTAGTAGCCGCCGCCTGCGTTGTTCGTGTTCGGAGAGCGGAGGACCATGGGGTCGCTCAGCGACCGGATGAAGCTGCACGTGTTGGTCGTGCCGGCGCGGACGGTGTAGGCGGTGTGCGCGGTCCGGTACCACTGGCAGACGGTGTTGCCGGGCTCGGTCTCGCAGCCCTGGGAGACGGCGGCGGACCACGAGACGGAGACGGAGAAGCCGCCGGTGATCCACTCGCTGATGCTGCCGCCCGTCTCGATGCTCCAGCCGACGGAGACGGACTTGGAGGTCTCGGTGCCGGTGGAGCAGGTTGCTAGGCCGCACTCGTTGTTTTCCTGTGTTGGTCTCTTGTTAGTTACATGTCCCTGAGCTCTTGTTTGTAGGTTATGGACATACAGTGATCTGGGAATGGTAGTAGTTCTGGTGAGGGTTGCCGTCCCCAACCAGCTCAGTCCACTTCTGAGGGTAGCACCCTTGCCTCTTTCCGATTTCCCGCTTGTCGGTGTTGGTGTCCGTCTCACCTGAGGTGAGGAACGGAATCGGCGCAATATACCGCGCCTGCAACTCCTGCTCCGGGTTGCGAATACGCAACGCCCTCGCCATCGTGGTTTCACCATCAGGGATACACTCATGGCGCCTGCTCAAGCTCTGGAACGCCATACCCGCCGGCACCTCAATGTCGCACGAGACCACGGACTCGCCGCCGTCGTACAGCCGCCCGCAGACAATACCCCCGGATATATCCTTCTTCTCGTGGATCTTGTACGTCGTGGACCCGACCGTGACGGTGCCGGCACCGGTGCGGTCGACGGCGAACTTGATCGGGAGCGCGGCGAAGGAGCCCGTGTCGAGGGTGTTGGAGCACGCCTCAGCGACGACGGTGCCGCTGGAGAAGACTTCGACGGAGGTTGCGGTGTCGCATTCTTGGTAGACGACTTGTACTTGCTGTAGCTGTGGCTCGTCGCGGCGGCTGAGGGCGGGAGCGGCGAGGGCGGAGGAGAGGAGGGACGCGGTGGTCAGAATTGCGGAGAAGCACTTCATCTTGAGGGTGTGGTTGCGGGAGAGATAGGTGCTGGGGAGACGAGAATGAGGGTAAGATCGAGGAGGTGGTATGAAGACAGTTGTGTTGATCTGAATTGAGTAAAAGTGATGATGCTTGTTGTGATGAGTAGAAGGTGCTGATGTTTGATGTGATGAGCTTGTGAGTGATGATGAGGTTGACCTAATGGCAGACAATGGTTATTTATGTCTTTGAGTCTCGATATGCCTGGATAGAGATCACAAGCATCAATTCAGTTATTCTCAAGTTCTCTGGGCAACTCGCCCAGCTACTGAGGCCGTGTAACTACGCCTCCTTCCAACCCGAACGTTTCGGGCACAGGTTCGACGAGGAGCCCACAAGGCGAAACACCTCACGATGCACGGTCTGGCCAAGATTCAGTAAAGTCTAGGTGTATCTCATCCGACATTTCGACTTCATTACGGCTAAGGCTGAGTTCGTTCTTGTTGGATCCACTAAGCTTGTGGATAATGACGTGAGGTGCCGCATGAGCCCCCGTGACGCAGGATCGGACTCTCGTGTTAGTATTTGGAAGCTACAGCTGGGCATCTCGTGGTGTTGCAGGGTTCGATCGATGACTTTACAAGTGTCGATGCTGCTTGTCGGCGGTTGGTGCCGTGATGAGATGCTTCGACTCTGCCTTCCCACGATAGTCGAGGCCGAGTTCGCCCTCCGTTAGCCCCCAAGCTGCTAGAATGCGGCGGGAGCTACTATTTTCAGGTCATCTTCGATGGGACCTGGAGGAACCATGTCTTTTGCATTTGAGGCTTAGATATGGCTCTGATTACCCCAGAATTTCAGCAGCAATGGCGCTAGCTGCTGGCTTCAGTCTTCCCCAGACATGTACTAACCCCTGTCTCTATCCTCCAACGGTCGCACAGTCAACTCGTTGGTTCGAAAAGTCCCCCTGCCCTCGCACCTGGGGCTGAGGCTTGGCTCTTGTTGGAACTCGAATTTCTGCAGCTAAATCGTTGGTTCGCAACTTCCAACAAAACCTATGTGGCTGGGCATAACCCCTGTATCTCGTTGGCCCCCAGGTTTTCTGAAGGCGCAGTCACCAACAGCTTTCGGTTATGACTACACCGAAGCCAGTTCCAACGCGAATTCAGCCAATCAGATGATACCAAGACTTTTCAATATTTTACCGTGCCAATCAATTAGCCAAGTACACGCCTTTCACGATGCAGATTCGTGGGGTCAGGGTAATGTTGTTCTGGGGTGGCAGTGACAAGCAACAGCTCACGTTGCCAGATTTAGAGAGCTGCAAAATAATGGCTGTTATCCATTGAGGGACGTACAAAAAGAAGTCGACTGCCTTCGCAATTTCGGAAGACCCGCACTCTTTTCTCAAGCTCCAAACAGTTTTCAAATTCATTTACCCTCGCCATCGCGTTGTCGACCGCTCAACTCCGCTCTTTACCTTCACCGCCTGCCAAACACCCACGCCATGTCCGTTACCACCACAGCGACAGCGCCCGCGTCCTGTCCGACAAACGAGATCCCCGAGGGCTTGCCAATCCCGAACAATGTCACATACGCCGTCATCCCGGGCCACAACGCGTCGGACCCGTGGATGGTCAACTGCTGCTCTCCCAACCCAGTCCATCTCGTGAACGACTGCTGGGAGTGGTGCGAGGTTCCCGAGGCGACCAAGAAGAACAGGGACGATGCACAAATTGTCTCCGTCTTCGGCAGTTGCTTGCGCGCAGAGGGACGCAATTGGACCGAGTCGAACGGGGTCCAAGTCCGCTCTGCGTCCTCGCATCGTCCTGTTCCCTTTGCAGGATTGGTGTTGGCGGCGCTCGCGGCGTGCACATTGGGTCTTGTGGTTTGAGCTCCGTCGAGATGAATGTTCATGGGTGGAGGAGGAGATTGGGCGTGGTATCGGGGAGCGCTCGACGGAGATGGGGTTACGGAGAGCTCTATTACATACATCCAACAAAAGCTCCAGGGGTTGCAAAGGTTAGTTCTTCAGTACAAATGACACGCCCGTGGAATGTCAACAAGCTAACACTCAATGCTTCTGCAGGCATGTTCAAAGAGCCGTTGACGCCAGTGTTGGAACACGCGTTGTCGACGTAAATTAAAGCCTGACCACCTGTCACGGTTCACATTATTTACGGGGTGTTGGTGCAAATTTACGATACTATTGCTGTTCGAAGAAGTTGCCAGCCGCGTTATGACTCATTATGAAAACTTTCCAGCGAATACCCAATGAATCAGAAGCTCTATTTCAGCTGTTTTGGAACGTTGTTATCTGCAAGCTTGCTTCTTGTACACTCTACGCATATAATCAGTTTCACGCATGTTTCTTCGATCATGTGGCTAACGATGTCTGCGCTCTGGTTTACTACTGATAATTCACAGTAATTCGAACAGTAATTCGATATGGGTTCAATCTGTAGCTGATAGCATCACCACTCCGGACAACAATATGCCCGCGTTATCTCTCATTGTGAACGGGTATTTGTTAATATGAAAACCATTAATTTTGACCGATTAGCCTAATTTGATGATGCACTACAAAATGAGAGGCAGGTAATGCGCCCGCTTCTTCTCAGTGTCCTTTTAACTTGTTGCGTCTTTCATGTTAGCTTTTGCATATAAGCGCTTTATGATACATAATGGAAGACGGTGATTGCGTGCTGATTCGATATGCCTACTTAAGTTTTACATTCTTGCATACGATCCAGTGGGATGATGATTTGTTCTTTGCGTCCTATGTCATTTTGCAGTTGTTGATAAATCACGGCACAGCCAAGAGCGGATAACCCACAGCAGCTACATGTAGCCACGAGATTGAAGAAAGGTATTCATGGGCTAGTCTAGCGGCAGTTTACCTCAACATCCACCAGTCTTTGCTTACGCGTACCATCGTCTCTATTTGCAAAAGTACGCCGAAGGGTTTGGTTTGACTGAATCCACGGTTGAGTCTCAATGATTAAGACACGTTCTGCAGTGAGTAAACCGGTCTTCGTCCTACCTACATGATTGACAGAATGAGAGTACTATGTCAGATATAGATCTAGCACTACGACATGATGTCCTCGGTCCAAGAAACCTACACGTCGATTAAATGTGGATAAAGCCAAAGCAAGGGGGAATCGTTTTCATATTAACATGGCAGACCGGATTAAGCATTTTGGGACGAATCTTGAACCTAATTGACATATACTGACTGGTTTTAGATATTTCCCTACATACAAAGCATGCACGTTTTCTTTTGATAAGTTACTGCCAAACAATTAAAATCAGTATACAACAGCTTTCGGAGGCAATTTCCACGGCGTAGAAAGGAGCGATCGATTTTTCTAAATAAAGTCCGGAGTCAATGGCTTGACATTAGCATCGCGTGAACCAATAATGATGTTGCTCGTACCCCCGAGGTTCTGTCCAGATAAACATAGCGGCGGCCATTGCCAGATTAATCATCGACTTGGCAAACGCTTGCCAGAACCCGTTCAGGTATTGGAAGGATATTTGATTGTATGGATCTGCGGAGGACTCTTTGCCCGCCGGTGATTTTCGTAGTCTCCATCGATATTGAAAGGATCAAGATGCCTGCCGGACGTAGACTCGGAGCTGAGTCGGTGACCGTTGAACCGACAAGGATCCAGCATCGTGAACTTTTCACATGAACCACAAAAAAGAGTGTTTCCGACGTTCTGCCCCGACAGGGTGACGCTGGTGGGGTCCAACGGTGCTCAATGCGGGTATGACAGAAATTCTGCCAGGCAAGATCGAAGAACGCATTTTGAAGCAGGCACCCCCCAGCTCACCGGCCTCCCGCGCTTTACACGATTCACGAACCGTTCACTGAGCAGGATATGTACATCATGCCTGCCGACAAAAATCACGTCGCAAGTAGAAGCTGCTGGCAAGGTTGCATTACTCATATGAATTATATTATTGTCGTTATTTAGGTCCTCGAGGCGCCCGTCGTTGTCGTAACGCTAACATTCTGTCTCAACATCCCGCCTTCTCACAACATCGCCTGCACTCTAGTTGCCCGGGTACCACCTGCTGAGGATGGAGGTAACGTTTGAAGGGCGAGAGAGGTGAGCGCAGTGGCCGCTGGGCTCAGACTCGGTCTTGGAGCCGGCAGGGAGGACGGCAGACATGCCCTGCTGGTAGCTGAGGGGCAGGGCGTTGTCGAGGGTGGCGTACAGGTACGCGCAGTCGATGCCGTTGCTCCAAGGCTCGTAGGAGGAGGCGTTGGTGAAGGCACCCAGGGCAGTCCAGGTCATCTGGGAAGCCCACTTCTCCTGCTCAGAGGCGGGGAGATCGTTGAAGCCAACCTCGGGCAGCATGGTGGCGTTGCCGACGACACGGTCACCCTGTTTTGCAGTTAGTTTCACGGTCACTTTTCAGCCAGAGGCTTAAGGGGGGTTACATACCTCAACAACCATCCAAGGAAGGGGGGTGCCGCCAAGGAGGTCGAGCAAGCTGGAGCCCTTGGGGAGCATGAAGGCACTGGCGTAGACGATGCTCACGACACCGCCAGTGCTGCCAGCGGCAGTGCGGGTGGCGACGTCGTAGCCCTCGACGGCGTTGCTGGCAACAACACCGCCGTAGGAGTGGGAGTAGATGACAACCTCCTTGCCATCGCTAACAAGCTTATCGAGCTCAGTGCGCACGGCCGCGACATCGTCGGAGAGAGAGGCGAGCGGGGTGGTGGTGCCGCCGACGGTGGGGAGGGCAACGATGGAGGTGTTGAAGTCGGCACTGGCCAGTTCCGTGGCGAAGGGCTGGAAGGCAGAGGGGAGCTGCCAAGCACCAGGGACGATGAGAACTGAGGGCTTCATTTTTTCAGATGAAACTGGGGATAAGAGCCACGGAGGGGTTGGATCTTGTTTCTGCTGCAGGTAGATTGATTAAGAGGAGCGTGCAGAGTGATGGGCAAGGAAGCGACTGAGACTGAGAATGAGCGGACGGCCTGCCTGAGAAAAAAGAAACAAGCAGCTGATCAACGCGGCAGACGCTTTCTAAAATACAAAGTTGTAAAGCTACGATGCATGAATGTCGGTCCTCAGCAAGCAATATCCCCGAAATGACAGCGGCGATGAACGACGCTTGACAGCGGGATCGTCTCCAGTCCAACCGCCGGACATTGCGCAGCGTCCATGTCCCTTGTGGTTTTTGACGTCTCCGCAATGTTAGCGATGTTGGTGCGCAGCAGCTGCAGTACACGAGTGTACGCGGTCTTTCGATATATCCACAAACGGGCCAACGTTGGCGGTGGGTTTATTGCTCCATTTGTGTATGAAAAAGGGGGCACATCGAAACGGCGCAGGTACCCGAATCGGACACACCTGATTGGCGGACCCAAAGTCCGTGGGGGCTGTCAAGAAGACTGACACTTTATGCAGGTTTGTGGCGTATGCAACGCAACCCTCCAACTCATAACTCAAGCCTTCTCGCTAAGTAGCTTCGAAGAATTCCCCGAAGAGTCTCTTGCATCTCTGCAACCTCGGCAGTCAGAAAGGAATTGTTCGAACATTTCTTCTTTCTGTGATCAAAAATCCTTCCGAGGAGAACGAGGACTTCGTGTGTTTATCCCCCGGGAATATGACGATAATGACGCACAGTCAGAAATCTGAGATCCACCACCAACGCGCCGCAGCACATCGCAGGGTTGATGACTCGGATATGGACCCCAGTCGCGATTCCAAAGACCACCGGCTTCTCTTCCGGCAACTCGCGGGCAACGCAGAGGCCAATTGCCGCTGATGATCTGTCGACATCGGTGGCCCCATTCGTTCCATCAATGGGATGGCAGGCGGGGCTCTTGGGTTCCTTTAGCGGCGGGTCTTGATGGAGCCTCTAGACTAACGCTTTGCTCCGGTTACCCAGATCCAACGGTCTTCCCCTAGACGAAACGAGCCTCAAGAAGAGCCGTGCGCCGGGACGTTCGATCATTTCGAGAGTCAATCGGATGGTGTTGACGGAGAAGACGGCTCTTTTCAGTGCGGCCGACCTCCTGTGGATATATCGCGGGAGAAACTAAGTCTAATATCTCTTCTTACGACATCCCCCTTGGCAAAGAACCCACAGCAGTGGTGAACCCTTGTGGATGCCGTTCCTCAAAACTGATCAAATGTGACAAAGCAGGCAACTGTTCGGGATTTGACCGGGACTCTTGCCCCCTTTTCCGTTTCCTGTTCCAGTGCAACGGTCCACATGTTCCTTTCTTTTCATCCCACCAGCCGAGGTCGTATCTGGATGGAGTTGATGGGGTGTCACTTGCAGTTGTCAAACATGACAGGCCGAAAGAGAAAAGATTGACAGTTTGGGAATGCTACCATGGTTCGGTCGAGAAACAGGTCGTCGGCGGAACCGCGGCATCCACCAGCACGTGTTTTGCAGTGTCTTGGTGCTGAAGCGAGACAATGAGTGAGATAGACGTAGGGCACAGGAGAGGAATTTCCCCCAAGACCTGTCGTGGGAAGGTTTGTTAAAATGATTCTCCATCCCCACGTGGTTCGTATCTTAGAGGGCCCCCCGTGAACCGTCTGCTCGGTGATGAACCCCTCTCTTTCGACAAACTGACAGTCCGGAGAACATCGTTGTTCGAACGAGAGAGCCTGTGTGGCCACCAAGCCACCAGCAGCCACAGCCAAGCATGGCGGCCTTCTACCCGTACAACGACACCAGTCTCGACCAAGGCGAGAGGGACTACCTGAAGAAGCTGGCCGACTTCGCCGAGGATCAGAACCTGGACGACGACTTGAGAGGATATGTTCGGGGTATCACGATCGCCTTTACGGCATTCGCCGCTTTCATCGTTGGCTTGAGGTTCCTGGCGCGTCACCTCCAGGCTGCGAGGTATCTGAT